TATACAATGGATTAAATATCAAACTAATCTCTCATACATTATTACTAACACCCAAATCTAGGTGAGCCTTGGCCATTTCAGTTGGTTTAGGCCACAGATAAATTAGTCTGAGCTTCTATTCTTGCCATAATATTTTAAAAGTAGATTTAAACTTTATGTAAAATCTCAGTTAAATATTCAATAAAGATAAAGGTATGGCCTCATCATTAATATTAAAAAAAACAAAAAAAAAAAACAAACAAATATAGGATAGCTATTATATTCTGATGTTTGCTAATAACAACCAAATATTAAAAAGTATTTATTCTTTAAAGATCTAATATATTTGAAATTTTCTAACCAATAAATATATTAAAAATGCAGTACAAAGTATATAGAATATTAATGTATATCTTTTTTATTTAATTAGTTGATCTAATCTTATGACTTCATTTATATTTATACTCTATGAGATTTTTTGTTTATTGATAATAATAAATAAAATACAAATTAAATACTTGTGATCAAAAGATTACTTTAGATTATTATAATGTTAAATTTATTTATTTATTATTATATTTTTTAATTCTGTAATTTATATATAAAATTATTCTTTATTTTATTTGTTTTTTTTACTGTTTTGACTATATTATCATTATTGAAATTATTTATACAGTCGATACTGTCTAAATGCATACCATCAGTTAGACGAGTTTTTATGCATTTAGACAGTATATGCATTAAGACAGTAAGCATATTTTGTGTAATATAATAATTAGCCAATCAGATGTGGCCTAATATACTACTCTAATTATATCAATATATATTTTTTTAATATAAAAACATTGATATAATTTAGTTGTAATTTTGCATTATCATTATGAACTTATCGATTGGAGTGTCTAGAATATTCTAACTAAATTCACCAAGTGAAAAACCTGATATTCTATATTTACAATTCTCTTGATAACACTCAAATATTAAATTCGATCGATCATGTAACAGGATAACAATTAAATAGTACAATATTGACAAAATTGGGGTGATTATGCATGCAAAGCCAATTTAGTATTGTATTGTAAAAAATCAGTCATGATAAAATTAATGTAGCAATAATGATAGTAAATGGTAGTCAGTGATAGTTAATGATAGTTAACATTAAATTCGTATAAAATGGAATAGGGAATTAGTAATGCATACGTAAATCGTAATTCTTTCTTTTCTAATAAAATAAATAAGTAAAATATGTACCTTGTCGCCATAATAAGCATTGAATATAGTGTTAATAAAGTGTGAATAAATAAAATTACACAATATAAGACAATAGAAACCTTAACTATACCATGTTTTTTTTTTCACTGAATATTCGAAATATTGAGTAACAGAACAGTATAGATGGATATTGGTTTTGAAAAAAACCTGGTTAATGTCTAGCATAAAAATGGCATTTCATCATATGCTATATATGTCTCCACAATGATAATACAAAGGTTTAAAAAAAAAAAAAAAAAAAAAATTCCTTCATATCTTCAAAAATCAGTTTAACTAACGATCAGCGCAATAAAATTTGTATACAAAAACAATATAATTCAATCAGGACATAAGGAGAGCTTGCAAAATAGGCAAAAGAAAAGTTTGATTTTGATAATGCTTCTAACCAAACAACAATTTCACGAATCCTTGCCAAAAAGGATGAGTATCTTAAGCTTGATGATGAGAAAGATCTTAGAATCAAACATCACTGAACAGTACTCCAACCTCAACAAGATGAGGCATTAGCAAACTGGGTTTTGCAATGTCAAGCAAGAAAAATTCAGTTGACTGGGGAGTTAATATGTGAAAAAGGACGTAAATTGGCTAAACAAATTGGTCTTAACCCCCAAGATTGCAATACACCTGATTTTTCTGTTGGTTGGCTGCTCTCATTTGAGCAATATTATAATTTTAAAATGCATAAAATACATAAAGAAAGTGGGTTCGCTGATAATGAAGCAATCGAAAAAAGCTTGCCTAAACTATGTGAGACTATTAAACAATATGCTGCAAGTGATGTTTATAATATAGATGAAACTAGTCTGTTTTACAGGATGGCTCTGGACAAAACAATCACTAAAAGACAAATTGAAGGGAGCAAAAAAGATAAAACATGTCTTACCCTTGCTTTTACTGCCAATTCAGATGGCTCTCATATGTTAGAACTTTTTATTATTGATTACTTAAATAAACCAAGATTGTTTAAAGGTAAAACTGAAATGCAGCTTGGTTTTTATTACCACTATAATAAGAAAGCCTGGATGACTGGATTACTTTTTTAAGAATGGATTGTAAACTTTAACTGTATGATGGAAGATACAAATTGACACATTCTTCTTCTTTTTGAAGGTGCCACTTCGTATGCAATTGGTGATGTAGATCTTACTTATATAAAGGTTGTTATTTTACATCCAAGAACTACTTCAAAGCTTCAACCAATGGATGCAGGCATTATTGCGACCTTCAAACATTGATATCATCATTTTTTATTGCAACATGCTATTAACTATGATGAGGCTGGGGAATCTGATATCTATAAAGTCGACCAACTAAAGGCAATGCAATGGTGTATTCGAACTTGGAATTCAATCCTTCCAGAAACTATTACAAATTGTTTTCACCATACTGGCTTGTTTGATTATGAAATAACTACCATTATTCATGAAGTCCATCCAAATGATGAGGATTCATCTGTTCTCGCAGAATTGAAAGAATCACTCCAAATATTGTCCCTCACCATTCTATGAGCATTGCTCATTATACAAACCCACCAGAAAAAACAGACATAGTACATTAAGAATTCACAGATGCTAACTTATTGGCATCAACGACCCCAGAAAATAATGATACTGATAGTATAAATGAAAGTAATTCTTCTTTTATTACTCCTTCAAACCCTGTTAGACTCGATGCTATTCGTACTGTAATCAGTCTTCTTGATACAACTATTTCTGATCACAATACTGTGCTTAGAACATTGCATTTATTACAACAAGAAATTCAACTTCAAGTCTTCTCCTCCAAGATTCAAACAACATTAGATAGTTTTATTCAAGTAGAATACCAGGTAAGAGTTTATTCAATTGCTTTTACAGGTTTGCTTTTCATTGCTGATTTTTTGATTTTATATTAGTAGGTATAGGTCAAAAGAGCATAATAAATAGGTTCTTATTTTTATTTATACAATGCGTACAAATAAGATCTTTTATCCAACAAACTCATATAATCATGAAAAAATTTCTTTTGGTTATTTTTTTCATATATTACGATAATTATATTTATTCAAATTAAAACTTAGTGAGCAACTCTCTACCAAACATGATCATAAATTGCTGGATAACATTATCATTGAACAATTTTTGAATAAGGTAATTTGACAAATGATTGGCTACATGTGTCGCAAAGCAGCATATGCTCATTTGCCAAATTACCGTTATTTGACAATTTTTTGCGCAATAAAGTATACTTATATTAGAATTGTTCTTATTTTTTTAATCATTTATATAATATACACAAATAGGATATTTACATCAGAGCCTTTATGCCATTGCTCGAATGAAATAAGAAAAAAATTAGAATTATTATCTTATATTGCATTTGACCTTCAATTAATTCATTAACATGATATTATTCATAGTAATTTACTTGATGATAGTATATTACAAAATAATTTACAGTATAACTTTATTGCTTAAAAAAACTTCTATGTTTATTTGGTCTCCATTTACCAAAGCAGTTATGTGGTATCATATGTTGTAAGTAGTAAATTTTAAAAGGCAATATAATAAATTATATTATTAAATGTTGTGTCTTTTCATTATAGTGCATTTATAAAATACCCTATTAATATGACATTGATCTTTAACTGTGCTGGTTACTATTACCGAGTAAAGATACATCATCATATGTGAAATTCTGTCTATTAGAATACTATAAAATGGGTTAAATAGTAGAAAAAATAGGTTAAATGTATTATCATATAGATCAGACGTTCAAAATTATTTTGGAAGTTTAGCATTCATTGATTAATATGTAATTTGGTTATTTAATTTTAAATTCGGATGTATGAATTTCTGATTAATTTGGCAAATGTAATATGTTTAGACAATTCATATATTATAATATATTATGCAATTAGGCCTATTTACCTATAGATTTTTCTTATGCATTATGCAAATAGAGGGTTTATGCATTTATAATTAATAACTAGGTTGGAAAATAAAAATAGCATGCAGTTAAGCAGTATATGCATTTAGACAGTATGCATTTAAACAGTATTGACTGTATTATATAAATTTTTTGCTTCACTTAATTTAAATAAATCAAACTTGTAATTGTATTATATAATATTTTAAATTCTGTTAATTCTTAATAAATACATATTATTTTTTAATTGAAAAACAATATACATGTTTTTCAATTAGTATAAAATTTGCAAATCAAAAAAAAACAGTCAGAAATATTTATAAGTAATTGAAAATATTCAAATTTATACAAGCTAGATTTGCTATGAATATATAGAATTTTTTTCTACAAAACCAAAATTTAGTACTGCAATTTACTTTTTATCAACTACAAGAACTTGAATAATTTTTTTAATTTAAATTATTATTTATTTGCATTATTACTTAAATTCAAATTATAACATTAAAATTTTTTAATATTTTCTAAATAAATATTATATTGTATTAGTTTTAGTATAATTTTAATTAAAATTAAAAAATATTTTTTATTTATTTATTTCAAAAATATATAAGTCAAGCATTTTTGAGTATTCCTATACAAGCATTTTTGTATTAAATATTTTTGAGTTATATAACACATTACTAAGTATTATAACTGATATATTTACTAAATGCAATACTAATATTTCTCATATTTTTTATTTTTGGTTTTGCATAATAACATCACAAAGTTATTTTATTATTATAAAATTTTAGTAAAGCAAACTTTTTTATTAATTAACTATTTAACTAGAGTTGTTACTTAATATTAGATAAATGTATAATATAATAAAATAAGTGATATTATAAGATTTACAATTTATTAAGAATTATATATTAAAAAGCAGTATAAAAAATTTTTATATATCTTGTAATTTTTTTGCAATTTATATAGTATTTTTTAAATCATTATTTTTTTCTTATTTTTAAAGATAAAGATTTAAAATTTGCTTAAGTTTATAAAAGTAAGTTTTATTAATAATAATATAGAAAGTTTTAATTTATGCAAAAATCAATTGTATATTAAAATATTAAATATATATTTTTTAAATTATTATTTTTTCTCTTATTTTTAAAGATAAAAATTTAAATTTTGCTTAAATTTAATAAAAATAATATCTAGTTTAATAATATAGAAAGCTTTTTAGTTTATACAAAAGTTAATTATATAAAAATCTTTGTTAAAATATTAAAAACATTTTATTATAGATATTATATTAAAATAAGTATATTTACTCTAAATTAGCATTTTATATATAATTTTTGATTAAATAATTTTTTTTATAAACAATAAGTTTTTTTAAAGTTTTAGTAATTGAAAAGTTTAATAAATTATTATATATTGCAAGTAATTATTTTTATTAAGATAAAACATAATAATTAAATGCAAAAATATTTACAAATATAAGATTGCTCCTTGTTTATAGTTTAAAATAAAATTTAATTATAATATTGATTAAAATAATGTATTAAAATAATATATCTAAATAATATATCAAAGCAAAATATTTAGTTATTTGTAGTATCTAAAATAATGCTATTTCTAGAAATTGTTACAAATAGTTAGCTATATTGTATTTATACTAAGATACAAAATTTACAATGTTTATAATAATTATAAGATATTATTTTTTGTTTATAAATAGTTAACTTTTAAATTTATTAATATATTAGATAAAATTCAATTAGAATATATTAATTATTAAAATAATTAAATACTAATATATGTCAAGAAAGATACTTTAAATAAAAAGAGTAATACAATAAATATCTACTATTCACTTTATTGTTATAATTATTAGTTTGTTATTTTTACTAATTATTTTTAATTATTATAATTAGACACTTTGTATCAAAATAATATATCAAGATAATATATCAAAATGATGTATAAAAGTAATATATAAAAGTAATATATTGAAATAATATATTATCTAAATATATAGTAATTAATTAAATACATATACAACTCAACTCTTTCTCGTAGATTATCAAAACAAACAAAATTAACAAAAACTTGGAAATAGTACTATAAGTTTTTTATAATAATATAGGTTTCTTTAAAATACCAAACACATTACTGCTAGTTTTTAATACTATTAGAAAGGCAGAAGCCACAAATAGCTAACTTCGGTTAAGGTGTTAGCACAAAGGTGGCAACTCGAGTTAAAAAAGACCAAGCAAATTTGTTTACCAACTCCGACACTTATAATCT